AACTTTGGTCATTTGGTACCTTTGCCTTTTTCCCTCTTTTTACATATGTTAAGCAGTGACTTTAAAACTTTGGTTTATTTGGAGGCTATTCATGTATGGTCTAGGAATAGCAATAGATAAACTGTCCATGAAATTGTGTGTTCCCTCCCCTTTTGTGAGGGGGAAGTGGTGACTCCTTTCTAGAACCTAATCGAAAACCAAAATAGCTTTTTGTTCTCCTGTTATAACTGTCCTGCCTCTGAGTCACCATACGAAACAGAGGTTGGGAAGTATTGAATACTGTAGATTAAGCACTTCCAAACCAGCTTTTGGCTAAGTTTTATGCATGCTATGAGCAAACTAATGTGCACAAGTATCCAGGATACTCAGCCAGTAATTCATGAGAGTCCAAAATATTCTGCTTGGAATGAATCATAACAGCGTAGATGATAGGGTTGGAAAAGGCCCCTCAGGTCCTCCAATCCGACTCCTCTGCGTCTTCTATGATAATTCCACTAGAATTTCATCTAATGAATCTTTGAAAACCCCTAATGTAGGTGACTCAGCTACCTCACTAGTCAGTTTATTCCATTGCCTAATTGTCATGACTCTTACATGTTGTCTCATGTCTAACCTGAATGTTTCAGTCTTAACTTTTACACCATTATGCCTTGTTTGACCAATTCATGACTGCAGAACACAGTCCTTTCCTCTCCCTTCTGCAATATCACTCAAGTATTTGTAATTGGTTTAAAAGGCTTTTTTCCCACTAGTCATATAAATAATTCTATCAAGTATCTTTCAGATGTCTTGTAGCACTTTTCGAGTGACAAGGTGAGTAAGGTAATAACTTGTGAGTTAATATCTTTTATTGGACCTCACCCACGTAGTCTCTCCAATATGCTGGGACCGACACGGCTTCAACAATGCTGTATTCTAGCACTTTTCTCATTTTATTTGCCCTTCTTTGAATTTTCTCTCGCATTTCAGTCTTTTTATAATGAGGGGCTGAAAACTGCACTCCATATTCGAAGCATAGATTTATTGTTATTACAAACGATATTTCTGTAGTTGATGACGACCTTTAAAAACATTTCAGTTGACGGTGAATTAACATAACTGCGGTATTCTGAATACTTGCTTGTATATGAAATATCTAGAGAACAGTGTGAACATTGTGGGGACATTTTCTAGTTGTCAAATGCAAAAAATGGTTTTCAGGACGGTCACTGAGCGGCTGTGGATGGCATCTCTTACATACTATTATGTTCAGTTTTTGATAATTGGAACTCCCAGCGTACTCCTTTAAGGTGAAAATCATATATGCTCCGATTTAAATCACTCCCATGCTTAAGCCCTATTTTGAGGATTTAGAGCTGGCACAGCATAGGGGTGAATTTCATCATTACTATTTTCTAAGTAAGGGTTTCCCAGTTCGTAGCTGTGTAGATTGTTAATCTTTGTATGTGAGTTAATGTAAATTTATCCATGACCATGTTTGCAGACTGTTTTTGTGGGAGATTGGTGGTCCATGGATGCTTTCATGGTAGTCTGCGGAATGAAACATTTTGAGAACCATGCAGTGGGGTGACTTGGAGGGTGGAAAAAGACTTCATCGAGCGGGGTGGGGGGGAACTCTTTCTAAATGATCTGGAGAATCACTGATCTGTAGTATTTTAAATCTTACAACATATATATTTGTGTTTCTGCATAAGCTTGCCAGAGCATGCTGATGATTAACCTCCCTGATATTAATTATCCATTGTATCATTATTTATCATATGCCGATTTAATCAATGACATGTTACATGGTTCTTCAGGTTAATTAATACTGCACATAGAAAAGTATAGGTCATAGCTTGCAAGACTACTTCATTGTTGAAGGACAAATCTTAATACACCATTCCATGAGATGGTTGCACAATTTAATACCAGACATAATTTACACCTCATACATAAATGCACCTCACCCATAATTTATTTATTCCATGATACTTTTAGTCATACAGCATCTAAGTTCTCTAAATTTTTATTTGGTGCTGTGTCAAAAGGGTATGTGAAATCAAGATAAATTATGCCCACTGAATTTCCTTTGTTCTGCGTACCTATAATTATATCAGAAAAGGCTAGCACCTTTGTCTGAGATAATCTCCTATATATTTCCGGAATTTACATTGTTTATCATTAACACTATAATTTATCATGGCCATTTTTAGAAATAACAACATGAAGAAAACAATGTCATGAAAATATAGTTATTGAGACTCTTGGGTGTTACTTTATATCCCAAATAACGATTAATTTTCCATTTTTTGCACAGAATCAGTGCACAGAATCAGTCAAGACACAAAGAAAAAGATATATTAAGTCATTCAGTCCATCTCCCTGCCAGTAGACCTGTGCCCTACAGTCAGACATTTTCTGGCCTGCATCTTCAAAAGTATCTAATGATTTTGCAGGACTCAAATTCTGGGTGCTGAAATAGAGACCTCTTAAATGATTTTTCAGAGGATGGGTGCTCAGAACTTTCTGAAACATCAGACACTTTTAAGGTGTCTCAAGTTGGGCACCCACAATTCCTAGTCACATTTGAAAATGTAGGCATTTATGGTTTCTATCCAGTCTAATTGAAAATGTCCAAATGATGAGTCTTTTCCCTTGAGGAACTATTCTGAAGACTACAATATCTCACTGTGAGGAAGTTTTTTCTGATATTTAGCTAAACGTTCTCTGTCTTCATTGCACGCCACTTCTACTACTTATACCCTCCCGTCCCAAAATAAATAATTACTCTCTCCGTGCTGTTTATGTCCTTCAGATATAGCCTATCAAGTTCATATCCACCCTTTTGTTGTTTCTGAGCTAATCTACTAGATGCATAATTAGCTTCTGTAAGATTGTTCCGAAGCAGTGTTTTCAGTCACCAAGTCATATATTTGTTGTTCTTTGAGGGCCTGAGCTAAAGCCCACTGAAGTCCCTGGAGTCTTTCCATTGATTTCAATGGACTTTGGATCAGGCCAATTTCTGGATATCTTTCTGAAGCTGAACACAATATTTCAAATGTGATCACAGCACAGCCATCCATAAATGGTCTGTTAACTCCAGCTCCTTTGCAGTTCTAAATTGCAATAGGCTTTTTTTGGCCTACTATCACGTTGCAAACTTTTGTTTAGTTTTCTGTAATCTGTTACCTCAAGGTCTCTTTCAGCTGCTGCGTCCCTATCTCCCAGAAGCATGTGTGTTTCAGATTGTTTATTCCTCAAATGTATTTCAATATAAATCTGACTTTTTTTTTCTGTCCCTCTTGTTAATCTCTCTAGGCTTCATTGCAGTGTTTCTTTCTCCTCTCCAGTATCTGCAGCTCATCTCAGTTTTTGATAATCTGCACATATAATTAACATGCTGCTCACTTCCTCTTCTAAATCATTAACGAAGGCATTACCTGGGACAGGGCCTACTGCTGATCCCTGTGGGTCCCCAGCATAACAGTTTTGAACCAAGGAGCTACCAGGCCAGAGATGAGCTTTGTAAACCCAGATCAGCTCTCAACATGGAATTTTTAATTGTCCTCTTAAACAATAGGCAATTTGGTGAGGGGAAACCTCATAGCTCCTTGGGGAATTAAAGCTCTTGCTAAGAAGCCACAGCTTTGGTCTTTTGTGTCACCAGGGTCTTATCCCCGAGCTCTTGCTCCCTGTTTGCCTTTCAGGCATTTTGAGGTTTCAGTCTCAAGGCTCTGAGTCTCAGTAAGGTTCATTCAACTTCTTGCCCTCACACCCAGCCATTCATTGACATGTCAAAATCCCCTAGTACCAAAAGACATAGCCAACCTAAAAAAATGAAAATCTGAGGGCTTGTCTACACACAGAGTTACACCAATTAAATAAAAGGTGTGTAATTTTAAACCAGTTTATTTAAACAGGTGAAAAAGGTTGTGTGGACATGGTTATGGAGGCCGTGTGTCTGAGTGGACAAAGCAATGCCTGGGGTATGTTCCTGACTCTGCCTCTGGCCTCCTGGGAAAATCATTTAACTTTCTGTGCCTCAGTTTCCCTATCCATTGCAGGGGGTTAGTGATACTGACCTCCTTTGTAAAGTGCTTTGAGATCTATGGTTGAAAGATGCTATATAAGAGCTAGGCATTATTATGATTATTTATTTCTTTTATTTTGGCTTGAACCAGGTTTAGTTTGGTTTTAAGTTAGAACACAATAAGCTACTTTGAAGCTGAAATAAGAGTAAACCCACACGGGTTTGCTCTGGTTTCACTAAACCAGTTTAATTAAACCATGCAAGTTTGTGTTTAGACAGGCTTTAATTTGATTATTCACTGTTCTCTTTTTCCACATTTACTTCAGTCTGGAAATTTTTGACCACTTACTCCCAGATTTCTGCTTTCCTTCAGGTTTGCTATGGTGTGAATTTAGATCAAATTCAAATTTGACACACCTCCTGTTGTACTGTTGACATTTTAAAACAAAAGCATCAACAATACATTAAACTTCTCCAAGACCAGTAGTTTGCTATGTCAGTCTCTCTAAAGTGTCAGCCTTGAATATACATATAGCCATTTAAAAAGATGCATTCTATTAATAAACGAAGTGCCTGATTCTCCACTGCTTTGCAGCTTGTGTAGGCATTTATAGCTGGGCAAATTGTGGGTAAAATGCTACTAATTGTAGCATTTTATATTTACTTGACATGTGTGTCCTGTGTCATTGTTTCCTGTGGACAAAGTGGTATGTGATCATGTAAGTTTAAGACTGTATCATAATGCATATGCACACAGGGCTGAATTAATTTGCACAGGCAATCTTAATTCTGGTATTTCCTAACTTTTGAGTGCTTGATTTTTCAACTTTAACATTCTTTTAGCATAGAGTTTTTTGTATGCAGTAAATTATTTCCTCTAGTATAACCAAGACTTTTTCAAACTGTGGTGGAATCAACAATGTATTGCGTATGCTTGCCAACTATAATCCAATTTTTAAGTATCCTCATCTATCTTTCTCTCCTTTAGATTTTCCGCAGGGTGCACTAGAGGAAGCAGAAAAGCCATGAAAATCTGAAGAGGATCCTCAGGAGGATTTTTCTGTCTGATGTCAAAAGCATTTACAATGCAGCTGTACCAATCCATGTTACTCTATTCTGAATGGAGCCTTCAGAAGGAGAAGGTCCCACTAATTGTACAAAAAAGTTTATTCCCATCAAAGTGATTAGATTTTCTTGCCAACTGTAAGGCTTAGCATCCATTCTGTGGATAAAGCCTAACCACTTATCCCTAACCACAAACTGTTATAGCAAATGTTTGTTAATCTGCAATATCAGCCCGTAATAAAGATCCTGTTGACTGATCAAAGACTATTTTACACACAGTTAAAAGCAACCTTTGTTTCATGGTATGTTTTATCTGATTTTTTAGATATTCTGTACTCCCTGTCCCTTTGCGGTCACGTTACCATTTTCTCATAATGTCACAGTTTGGACAAAAAATAGCTATCTCCTTCCCACCTCTGCAAACCAATCACAATTTCCACACAGGTGAATTCACCACAAGAAGAAAGGCAGATAATCCACCAAGGCTTCTCTAACCCCCTCCTCCCTGATTTATACTGCTGCTCTCAAGAGATACAGTGTAAAATATGGTTATGTCAAGGGCAAAATGTCTCCTTCCCTTTTCCTGTTACAGAACACTAACACATGGATCTTCTTACTGTGCTTTTTACTGACACATTAAGTATGCTGAGACCCGTTATTCTTATGAATCAGTCTGTTCTGGTTAGGGACAAGATTTTCATGTGTGACTAGTGATTATGAGTGAACCCAATCTGAGAGACTTCAAAGGGGGTCTGATTTTCAGAAAGTTTGACCCCTTTGAAAATCAAGTCCTGTTAAGGTGTCTAGAAATGGGAAACCCTAAAATAGAGGCACCCAAAATCGCCTTTGAAAATCTTGGCCTAGATTTTTGAAATGTCAGGCGCATAAATGAATTACTGAGAGTAACATGGATGCAGTGTCAATGTAAAGATGTATGGAAGGGTCTGAAAATAACTGAGACCTGGCTCCAAGTGTAGAAGATATGCAGCCAACATCTGCTTCCTTTTGGTTTGGCCTCACGGTGGATCGTACAAAAGTACAATTTCCAGCCTGATTGGCAGCATATATGAAATGAATTGTTGATCTCAGCTTATTTCCTAGTGGACAAGTGTACACATTGCAAAAGCTGTCATCAAACTTGGCACCTGTGTTGTTTAGGCTATGTCTGCACTATCACTGTTGTTGGCAAAACTTTTGTTGGTCAGGGTGTGTTTTTTCAACCCCCTGACTGACATAAGTTTCACTGACAAAAGGGCTGGTGTGGACAGCATCTCCTGTTGGTGGGAGAGCATCTCCTGTTGGTGTAGCTAGCGCCACTCGCTGGGGGTGGTTTAATTATGCTGGCTGGAGAGCTCTTTCCAGCCAGCATAGAGCAGCTACACAGGAGACCTTACAGCAGCACAGCTGTGCCACTGTAAAGTCCATAGTGTAGCCAAAGCCTAAGTCAGCATAGAGATTCACTGTTCTAACTTCTCACCCATACAAGAGATTCCCCCAGCTCAGTTGTGAAATCTGCTGGCAGGGGTTGACAATTGCAAATTTATATTACTACTATCTGCCCCGTATCTGTGGCTAAAGAGGGAAGTTTATTCTCCAGGACTTCCAGTCCAGTAACTTTCATCAGCACAAAATCTACTTTCAATCCCCTTCCCTCTCCCCCTCTCCAAAAATCATTTCCTCCTTCCTGTACCAATTGTGCATTTCCCGTTAGCCTCCCATGCAATTCCATGGTGCTGCTCCATCAGGAGTATCAATAATGTTTATATCACTGCAATTGTACAGGGTTGTCTTTTTTAGTCGACTTTTTAAATGGAGCCAAGCAGCCGGGGAGCAGGTGGCCCTGGAGCTGGAGTGAAGCTGCAGGGCTTCCATCCAGATGGCCCTGTACCCTGGCAGCTGTCAGAGAGCTGCAACTCATGGGGGCCAAAAACCTCCCTGGGGGAGAAACTCCACCTCTCTGGCTTGGAAAGATTCCCCCTCCAGGAGTGTTCTTCCCTCTCTGTCCCTCCCACATGTTTTTCCCCAGGAGAGCAGTATGTGACCCATTGTAAAGAGACTCCACTGCTCTGCTAAAATTGCCCAATAAAATAATCTCCTGTAGTCTCCATACACACCTCTGTGACCGAAGAAAATCCATGGGGAACTGATCAATTACTTTAGCTATTAGGCTTAAACTTTAACCACAGATTTCAAATCTTCTTCTGTGCTCTCAGTGGCTGCTAGGTAACCTAGAGAAATCAACTGCAATTACTATTAAAAATCCCTTCACTGTACCGTAGAAGTGCCATTACACTGTAGAATCCTGAACCAAAGAATCCTGTACTATTATATACATATATACCATATGTGGGAAAGAAAACCATAGGGCTTTAGTGGGATATATTACAAGGTAATAATTATCATTATTAGATCTGATTCAGTCACCCAAAACTGCCATTGACTTCATTGGGAGTTTGGGGTAAGTAGTGAGTAGAGGTTCGGGTGAGGTATGGGAAATGCTTCTTTTTAAATTGCATTTATTTGACATCAGTGAAACATGTTTGTGTTGGTGTTGCTCCTGTTTGCCTATTTTACTCCTCGCTGTGGGAGGAGAAGGTTCTATAGAGAATCAACCCATAACACTGTTGAAGGGGGAAAATCATATTGGTTATAAAAGAAAGAAAGAGAGAAAATTGTGCATAGTAGTATTTTATGGTCTCTTTATAATATGTTAAATTATGCCATTCAATAGTATCATCAGGATTTAAAGCAGGGATATTTGCACTGGGTACAAAAACCATTTGTTTTTCCCATGGCCAAATGATCCAGGTAATTCAGAGGAAATAAGTCACTGCAATTTAGTGGTTTAAAGAACAGTGCAACAGGAAATAGTAGGAAGAAGCTCTCAGTAGTGCTCAGACTTTCTATGAATTTTTTTCTTTTAAATCTGATCTTTGTGGCTGGGGGAAAAATCGAGGCGAAATTACAAGATACTTTTTTAAAGAAAAAGTTATCCAAGCCAAAAATACGAAGGAAGCACTACTAATTTCAGGGGACCAAATGTTCAGTTCTCAACATCAATGTTTCTGAGGCAAGGAAAGATCTTACTGGCCATGTCATTCTATAATGCACAGAATTTGGCACCCATACCCTGTCAGGTCTCTTGCTAATAAGTAGACCACATTATTTCAAAATGAGGTTGGGATGTAAATACAATTTTCTTATGTAGAATCCTAGTTATTTATACTATAAAATGAATACTCCTATACAACTTCTTATTTTCATTCAACCAAACTTTAATATGCAGAGTATCTATGCTTCATCAAGTTATTTGAAGAGAATGTTATATTTTGTGTGGTTGTTAGAGCAAAACAAAGTTTAAGCAATCATTTTGTTAAAATCAATTTTAGACAAATCTAAATGCTGAATTAGTGAGTGCATTGTGACATTTCAATACCATCCTATCAGCGGTACCAACTATTTTTATTGTTAATAGCTACGGCACTTTTTTTTTTGCCCTTGCATTTTTAGAACAACACACTAATAGGATTATTCATCTAATGACCAAAATCCAGTTGAGTTTCTGAAAACTTGGGCTCAGTTTATCTTTTGGGGTTTGAATACAATCCTGAATTCAAACCAACAGACCCTTGTGGTTTGCCTGTTCCCGCATTGATTCTTCTGTCCAAATAGTATTCAGCTAAGACAAAGATTAACAAAATTTCTATTTTTCAAGGAACTGAATTTCACTTTAATAATAGTATGTGTTTTCTTCTCTTCAACATTTACTATACAGACTGTATTAGTGGTTTATCTGAATGTTCTTATACTTGTTCTTGTACTACATATGAAAAGTAATTTACTGTCATGAACTAAGGAATGCTGAGCAGAGATTGTAATTTCCATGTGAAATCCTTTCAGTAGAAAAAAAATTACAGTCTATGCATCATGCTTAATAAATATCTTTCCTTATCAAAATATCCTGTTTACAAAGTCTATATTTTTAAGAAAACAAGCTGCAAAGGTATTCGCACAAAATATTTGACACAGTTCTGTTCCAAACTTCTGTTATGGCTTTGTTTGAAATTAGTCTTGAGTTTGCTGTTGCTTTGTTTACAAGTACTTTTTGACACAAAACTTTCTGTACACTGGCTAACCTGTAACACAGCATCCTTCCAATATTTACACATTGTTTTCACATGCATGCTATAGTGGACTTAATGCCTTTGCAACCCTAGAGATCCTTAATTTTGCAAAGTGTGGATCATGTTTATTCATATGAATCATGATGTGACAAGTTCACTGAGTGCCCTCAATTCCTGTTAGAAGCTGTGAAAGATTTGGGGTCGTCGGCATCTCACAGAAGGCAGGATTGGCCCTATGATTAGCAAATGTGATCCAGAGCTTCCCTGTCTTCAGATACATCAGTTTTATGAAAACAGGCCATTCAGATGCTGCTATGGATCATGAATTAAAGACAGGATGGCATTGGGCAGGGGGTGAGACTAGATAACCCCTGTGGTCCCTTCTAACCCTATGGTTCTATGATTCTATAATTCATGTAAAGGTTGAAAGACATGGTTTGGTTTAGAGTCTGAAATCACTTCTCTAATTCATCTTCGTCTGTATTGTAAGTTCTTGCAATTTTATGTAATAAACAATGTCAGGAATTGCTATACCAACCCTCTAACTCCACATTCTTCCAGGTGAAAGGAAGTTTAGAATCTGAAATATCAAACACGGGATTAAAAATAATGTTCTGAAAGCTTATTTATTTTGGGGTCTTGGTATATCTGCTTTGCTGATGTCCTGTGTGCCCATATGTCTTAACTGTGACCAACAGATCACAGCACAGATATCTTGCAGTTTTATTAGCATTAAATGTAGAACAAGTGGTTTAATTAGTAACAGGGTAGAAGCATAACACAGTTACGTGATTTGACCTGGTATCCTCTGGCAACACATCTTGGCCACCGTAGTCTGTACATCTGCTCTGGTCAGGAGCACAAAAGAAGTGCACAAAAGCAGAGATATATCCTCACTCTTTACTTGTTATTAAATTCTGTGGTATTTCCCAGATGTTTCAATGTTGTAGGAATCTGGATGGGCAATATAACACACTAGGAGTTACACTCAATCATTGTTACAGTTTGAAATTTCCTTCATAGTCACTGCTTGTGACTACAGTAGCGCTCTCTCTCTCTCTATGCGCGCACACACACACACACACACACACACACACACACACACACACACACACACCACACACCATTTAAAGTTTCAGTCTAAAATCCAGTTACTAAAAAAGGTGGAAGAAGGGTTGAAAAAATTAACTAGTTATTATAATAAGGACTAAATAAATAACGAAGAGTCCTGGAAGGGATATAAACCCTCAGGCTTCAGGGCATAAGTCGAACACTAACAGGGGTTAGGAAGAAACTTTTCCTCTAGGCAGCTTATTTCATAACTTCCTATTACAGCACTTCTTACATCTTCCTCTAAAGCAGCTGGTATAGACTAATGTCTAAGAAAAGCTATTGAGCTAGAGGGACCACTGGTCTGATCCCGTATGGCAATTGCTGTGTTCCTCTTCAGTCTGCCAAAACAGCATTTTCCTCATGGGAAACAACCAGTCTGCTCCAATTTCCTGTTTTAAAGTTAATCTAACTTATTTATCTGCCCCCCCCCCCGTCTGTAATATTTAAGACTTGGTATAGTGCGACTACAGTATATTTCTGCCGTGTCTATCAGCACTGCTGCAGTGCTATATTTTCATTATAAAATCTTTCTTTGGAAAGTCATAGCACCTGTTTTTGAAAAAAAACAATTGAGTCCAGAGGAAAATTACACAGATAACAATGTTTGGTAAGAGCTTTTAATTCATCGCCTGGAGCAGGCTAGAGAAATGGAACGTTTCCTTAGCAGGAATAACCAGTCCAGACCATCCTTCTCAAAACACTACCCACAGAAGCTGTCCAGCTGGGTACTGACTGATACTGTATTCAACTAATGCAACATAAGCTACAGTCTTTGTTCTGATTATGAATGCTATTGGCCAATCTGTGAGCCTGAGAGGAGGACATCGATATGAAGCCATTATTGCAAAATGATTGAGAGCCCAATCCTAGCTCTGCTGAATTCACGTAAGTATTTTGCCATTGATTTTGATGGAAGCAGGAGCAGGCCCAAGCTCTTCTTTCATTGGTGGTGAATGTCACAATAGCACAGCTAGAAATAAATATTAGTCCTAATTATATTTTGACATAAATAATGAGGGTCACTCAAAAGTGCAGCTCTCCCGGGTAAAATTTACAACAGGATGTCAAGGAAGACAGTAGAAGTATACTGTGGTGCACCATTAGTCAGTTACTTCATTCCACTTCAGAAGTGGCTGCAGCTTAACGGGGGGAAGGTTACGTTTTCTGTAGACCCTATTAGCCTGAAAAATTCCAAACCCTTGTACAATCTACAGATGTATAGGAGTTACTTCACTCACTCCTGAAACAGTCTCATTTCCAGGATGGAATATGGCACCTGCTGAACAGCAACAGCATCACTATCCAATAGGACAAGTTAAGAAGAATATCTTCTTCCATCTGAAACTGTGGAAGGAACCTATTTGCAGGAGGAAGGTTTGGTAAGCAAAATGCAATGGACCAATTTAGAATTTGGTCAGCACAGCAGGCTGATGCCTTCTATTCTAAAAATTGGCACAGTTCTCCTAAATAAACACACCCGTTATTAGTGTCTCAGTTTCATGTGCCGTGCCAAAGATGGCACCCCCATCAGCACAATGCCATCTAACATTCAGGGACGTTGGCTCGTTATGGATTCAGAGGGAAGAGTGCCACTTATTGAATGTACTCTCAGCACCACTGCCTAAAATGCCCTGAATTTTCCTTAGGGGTCGTTCATCCACATACTAGCTAAGACTAATCCTATTTAGCTTGCTAGTTCTGATGAGTTGGTGTGGCAAAGTTTACAATGTGTTTTGGAACATCTAAATCTGAAATGAAATAAATATCCTATTAGTATTGTATTCATTTACTAGTATTGTATTATTCCTTAATAGATGTACTATTTTAGCTGGGGAATATGTTGAGAAGTGGGTCGATTAATGATGTTAATCCAATTCATTAAGAGGCAAACATTCAATAATTAATAGTTACTTAAAGTGCCCACAACATATTTTAACCATGAACAGAATCAATTGCCAGACACATAAAGGAGTTTATTGTAAGTATCCTTCCCCTGATGGTACAGTGAGGTGGAGACAGTTGGGATCCATAAATATCAGTTTATTACATATATTATCAAGTGGGGTGGGGGCTGTTTTTCTAGGAGCCTGAATAGAATTACTTCTCTCTGCTATGTTGTTAATTGTAACCAGGAACTCTTGCTGAAAAACACAAAGCTGCACATGATGTGATTGAATATGTAACAATATAAAAAAGAAGAGTACATGCGAGTAACATATTTGACTTCTGTGTTTAGGAGCTACCTAGATATTTTGTTTACAGGGTGGCAAAGACTGGGCGTTTATCTTGCTTAATGGAGGCTGGGCAACTTCTTTGTAGAAATTATACATGAAGGTGTTTGTGGCCATGGAGGACTCCCTAGTCCTAGTGGCAGAATCAGTGTTGTTTTGCTGTGCAGGAAGAGGAGGGGTGGGGTTGGGGCAGGAGTGTGCTTTGCTCAGCTATTTGGGATTGTATTGTGCATTTGGCCGTAGGACTGTGACTGGCTCCAGGATTGTGACTGGAAGGGATGAGAGAAGGGAAAAAATAGGCAGATCCTAGGAGGTGCTGAGTGCACTCACCCATTTATCATCTTGCAAGATTGAAACTTTCCCTTATTGACTGCTTCACAGAACTGCAATGACTGTTGTCCCAGGACAAGACGAGGGAATGTGTGTCTCATCTGGACAAGACAATTCCCCCAGAATCAGTGGGAAGAAATCTTAAGACACCAGCCAACCTAGTCTGCAGGTTGGCAGCAATGGGCAATAGAAGAAGACACACAATGGAATGCTTGAGTGCGGCCAAAACAACGACACATATACACAAAAATACAAATAATTTGTTCCTGTAAAATATTTTAAGTCATTTACTGTTGTTGTTCGGGCTTGTTCTCTCTCTCACATCCCCACCCACTCACCTTCCTGGTTTTATACAGTGTCCATTAGAATATTAGGATCCTAATAACGTGTGGTAGGACTGCCAGAAAACCAACAGTTTTAATTGATTTTTGCTTACTAATTCCTAATTAAAGATCAATAGAACTGATGACCGTACCAATTCTTTTCTGACATAATTATTAAAAAGGGTGAGAAACACAAGGTGTAAGGTTATGGGGCGGAGTTGAAGTAGTATAGCGTCTTATGTGCTCCAGGAGGCACCACCTGTTTTTATGAAAGTACACCAATGGTTTTGTTTTGTACCAGCTCATCTGATTTGGCTCATCTTTCTTCATACGGTTCAATTGTTAATCTGATAAAGGCATCAAGCCCCTCAAAGGCTTTCATTCTTTTATTCTGGTCAACTACATTTCTATAAATGGGGATTTGCTTTTGCAATCATCTGACTAATGTTAAAAAAAAAAAAAAGTTTCCCATTGAACATAAAATGGTGATTTCACTGATCCACCACAGTTCGTAGATGTATTTTAAGGCTCTGAAAGAAAGCAATAGTCTAGCTTAAAGTAAAATGAAGACAGCATTTTGGTTAAACATTAGCAATACAATGTAGCTATTCTCCTCTCTGATGAATAACATTGCTTCCAGCATCAGAAAAATAATAAATGTCAAACCAAATGAGTTCTAAAATAGTACTTTTCTTTAAAGGGCTGTGGCCCAAGTATGTCATCCAGCAGAAGAAAATTGGTAGCTGCATTGTTTTTTTGTAAGCCAGTTACGGAGACAGTGAACTGGTACCTTTATTGGACTAAATTAAAATTAGATCTGAGCAAATAATTCCTAG